GAAAATTTTGATTACACAAATATTGTAAACAAATAAAATGATAGCTGATGCGGTCTTTGTCCAAGTTTTATATCTAACTCTCTCTCACTTCTGTTACCCTAATCTTATCATATAACTCATTCTAGAACAGTAAATAAGTCATGACACATTAACAAAAATTGAATTTAAGTGAGGAAAGAAAAAGTAGTTGAACAGCTGAACATAATGCTAATATCTCTTTAAAAGAATCCCAATGCTTTTACTACGCAGAGTAATCAAAGTATTATCCAGACCGTTATAATTGTATATCAGGAAGCAAATCAATCCTAGTTGAATGAAATTATGTCTTGACTATGAATACACGTGAAAAATATTCACTTTGTCGAAGTCAGTTTTATTCCGCCGATACTAATCAAGTACGCTCTTATCTACTTTCACGTACTCTAAATGTGAGTTTAATGGAGAATATTACAATCAATGGAATTTATAGTTTAGTGTCTATAATGCATTCTATTTCCAACAATTGACAAAAGTGATCACGAGTGAGAACAACAGAAGTCGTTCGATCGAGGTCATTTGATTCTGATGAGATGAATTATATTATACGAATATCGAACTTATTGTTTACAAAGATATCTTCATCTATGCTTTAATAGAACTGTCCTAGTTGTGTAATATGCATAGATTTCTATGGTTTATAATGACATAATTTCTATTTACTGTCTTATAAATAAAAATTCATTCATTGAAACAATCTCTAATTATTACACTGAGCATTTCGTCTATGAATGATGAGTGCATAAGACTTCTCAATAAACTATATAGTAAAATAAAAACTTAATTATCTCTACTGTGCATGATTTTTCAGTAATGAACAGGTTTTTTCTGTACATTGTTAACATAATATTAATATCTGGACAAAGTAGACTTCAGTTGACCATTATTTAGTGATCCTTTTTGAAGAAAATCTTTGTCACATATTTTTTGTTTTCAATTTTCCATTCACAAATGAAGTTTTCATACAACACTAATGGTTATATATTTCATCGATCTGGAACTCCGGCGTTCTCTCGGATATTGGTGCGAGTTTTGATTAATCAAGAAGTATGTATTTTCAAAAGTTTCTCGTTTTATATGAATTGTTATTGCAACGTATTCAGATAACTTCAAAATGGAAAAGAAGATGTCTATAAGAGAAATGTTCAGACAAGAATATCTTCAAACAAAGATTCTCCAATTTTATACGTATAACAATTCTTGCACTACCGATTAACGTATAAAAAAGGAAGATATATTCATATAGATTCAATTTCTTCTTTGCAATCTTCTTTGCAGATTGCATCAAATGTTTATTTAATATGATATTTCTGTAGTTTCTAGTAACTCAGAGGAGATCGACCAGCATATGTATAGTTGTTTAATAATTACAAGCAAATAAGTAGTTTTCATGTTTTCTTTGGTACCAAAACGAACATCTCATAGTTCACGTTTCGAACCCATAATGAAACTAAAATAAAACGATAGCAAGACCAAAAACATAAATAATATGTAGCCAGAGAAAAAAAAACGATCGTTTGTAGTGGTAATGTAGCTAAAGAATAAATTAATACGTAAGTTTTCTCTGTGTCATATGAGCAGTAAGATAATGTAGACTTTTAAATTAAAGTATGAACCTATTGAAAGTTGGTGTCCTTTCAACAGTGGTCAAAATACTTTTCAGTTAAGCCGCACCTTCTTATGTTGAACATTCAGGGAATTAAAGAATGAAAAAAATGGTATTTTTCATGATGAAACGAACATAACTATTTCCGAACTTCTTGAGAAATAAAGAAAGAATGAAAACAATTAAAATTATTTAGCGATACATTGCTTTTGTTTCGCATAAAAATTTGGGATTGTTCATACTTCATTAAATTATATCTTCATATGGAAAAAATAATAAAGAAAAAAATGGCTATTCCATTTTGGAATTACTTTCTTATTGCTACTAAGAATTAAATTTTAATTTCAAATTGAAATGCATTCATACTTGAGTTTGCTTTACTTTTTATTCACATCCTTACATGCATGATTTAGTGATATTTTGTTTAAAAAGTTCAACTGCAATCTATGCGCTGTTTTCCAACCAGACACAGCAATGAATTTTCACGAATTGAAAAGCGAGAAAATTATGCTAGCTGTAACAAAATAAATGAAAATGTTGTGATGATTTATTAATCTTTTCGAATGAAAGAAAAAAGTTCAATCAATTGATAGTAGTAGTTTAAAAAGAAGATTTGTTATTTATGAGTAACGAAGAAAGACATGTAAATAAAGCTAAATAATAATCGGCTTTTTCTTAACTGAAAAATAATTGTTCATGTCAATTATCTTCGATAGATAATAAAGCAATATTGTAAATGAAAGATTTAACAAGAACTTTTCGTCAACAATTAATGGACTACAGTGTCACAAAATAAGTCATTGACTTATCAGCATTATACGAGTATAGAATTGTCTTTCACTAAAAATAAAAGGCGACAAATTAAATGTTCAGTATTTTTTTGTAAATGTTCAGTAAAATTTGTTCAGTATTATATACAAATTTTCAGTAAAGAAATCAAACTATCAGTATAAAATTTAATGTTCAGTAAATATTACGTTTGTTCAGTTAACTAATTGTTTGCTCAGTAAATTAATAAATTGATCAGTATTAAAATTAAAATTTCAGTAATTAATTCAGTTTGCTGATCTAAAAATTCATTTACTCAGTAAAGAGTAGTATTTTTATCAGTAATTACTTTTATTTTTTCGATGAAAATATTTTGGTATAAATGGAAGAATTATCGTTCTCATTGACTGATGATGAGATCACCAGTCAAAATATTTTTTTTCTTTTCTGTTCTTTCTTTCAATTGCTTTATGCTAGTAGATAAATTAAAATGGTTAGATAGTGTGTGCAATTGTCCAGCATTTTTCAAAAAGTTTATGTGTGAACATGTTGTTTGGTATGGCAATTCTATTAAATTACTGTAAACTACCACCTGCTGCTAAAAACGTTAAAATTGGTGAAAAAAGATGTCGTGGTAGACCAACAAAATCTAAAAAGGCGTTATTGATTCAATAAATTTCTGTTAATTGTAATTACACTTTTTTTACTGAAATAGATTATTAAAGAACTGAACAAAAATACATTAAATACTGAGCAAAAAAAAATTAAATACTGAATCTTTTTAAATTAAATACTGAACTTTTTGAATTGTTTACTGAACTTCTTGAATTATTTACTGAGCAAAAAATAATTTTTTACTGAACAAGAACTACTGAACATGTGATAAGAAATTTACTGAACATTCATAATAAAATACTGAACAATTAAATACAAGCCAAAATAAAATGCATTCATTCACATAGAAATATAAGTAGTTTCCAATCAGCTACTTCTGATTCTATTAAAAAATAGCACAACGTCTTTATTAGTAACGAAAAATAAAGTAAAATACTTTTTTGAGAAGAATAAAAATATTTGACGAATAAAGTCATTTTGAATAACAAAAAAATTTAAAGTAATTATCTAAGAGCAGTTAAAGCACAGCTGCAAAGCGAGTAAGAATATATCATTCAAACAAACGTTCGAAATTAAAACAATGAAAGCATATCACAAACTAGAAGGGTATTTCTCTCTCCATTTCTCACAATGATGATGTTTCTCGAGCTATTACATTATTTCAGTTATATCTAAAACAATATTAAAACAAGCTTTTTTTCACCAGTTATAAAAGAGAAAAGAAAGAGGCATACATCATCGAAGTTGATATTTAGTAGAAGTCATTTGGAGAATAGACGAGACAAAAAGAGGAAGAATATACAATGAATAACTTTTAAAAGCAACAATTCTAATGACTTGTTGCTTTACTAAAGAAGCAAAAAGACATCAACTATTCATTAACGTTGATTTCATCTGTAGATTCATAGATCATCAGAGTAGTAGAATTATACGTTTAACCTTTCGATCGATCGATACATATTTAAGATTTGCATAGCATAGTTAATAAATACTCTTCTAGATCAATGACTACCAAAGTTAGTACTCATATCCGATACAAAAATAAATTTATACATTTCATCAGGAATCTGAACCTATACGATGATGATGATACATTGACTCTGAATGCGCAACTCTTATCTACACGTGTTCTAATTATTTCACTTTCGATTGCTCTCTTACTTATACTATTATTTACTGGTATTATTCCTCAAACACGTGTAATCACTGTTTCTTCACCATCTGTCAATAATTTCGAGAATATAATCAATAGTTATCCAACTACAACGATGTGCCGCTGTTCTCAAACATCGATTCTTCATTCACAAATTGTGTCATTGAATGCTCGATTTCATCAAGTTTGCTCAAGTGATTTTGTCAGTGAAGAATGGTTTTCCTCATTATTCAATGTCAATACAAGCAATTATTATCCTCTTGATTTTCGTTTGATGGCTTCTGCACAATTTCAGATTTTATCTATTCTCTGTCGAATGTCGCGTCAAGCTGTAATCGATGCTCTCAAAGAATATGCTGCAACGGCAATATTATCACCAAATGCATTATCACGCGATGTAGTCACCACATATATAGGCACGTCTATTGAACAATTTCAGAAAACAACACTTGACAGTTTCCGTTCACACATTCATTTTATATTATCTCTTCTTACAGAACATCGTTTTATATCTGCATTAAGAACAAATTTCTATACGAGAGGTGTTCTTGGTAGCAATAATTTTGTAACTTTTCCTGCCATTTATCCACAACAAGTCGATACAACTCAATCGTCATCGATATTGAGTGAAACATGTCAATGTGATCGTACAAATAATTGTATTTATCCTGCTGGTATTTATAATCAAACAAAATCTATCATTCCGAATGAAGTCTTTTCACTTGATGTATCACCTCTATTCATGATACCAGGATTTCAAGTTGGATGTCTACCACAAAATGCATTGTTTCAATCAACATTGGAATGCTTCTACAATGAAACATGTTTAGATATTGTGATTTCGTTGACTGGTGCTCTTCGCACTATCTCACCTCTAAATATTTCAAACTCTAATTCACGATTTAGTCCAACAACAACAATTGCTGTTCTTTTTGATAATCTAATGATTGAGTCTTGGAAGGACTCTATTGATTTTGCTACTTATTTTCAAATTTGTGCACCTAAAATCTGTTCATATTCATATGTACAACGGTTTTTTCTCATTTATATAATTACAACCATAGTTAGTGTCTTTGGTGGAATTCGCGTGACATTACATATAGCATCTCCATTGTTTGTCAAATTCATTTTATACTTATGTCGCCGACGGGTTTCAGTGCAAGAAACTGAAGAAAGATATGAACCAAAAAGAAGTAAAGTCACTCTTTACGTTAATATATATACTTTTTCTTCTTCTTGTACTTTTTGTTTTCATAGATTTGCAAGGCCGTATATGGAATTTCCTTAAGCAAATTCGTCACAAAATTATCACATTGAATTTATTCAAGAAAACTTTAGCCAATGTTCAACATGGTATTTATTCTACACGTGTCTATATCATATTGCTGATGTTGGGTATTTACATTTTGACCATTTACTCTACATCAATAGTTAGTTCACAACAAATCATTGTCAAAAATCCAAGTATCGATCAATTTGAATATCTTCATGACATGTATTCATCGATTCTATCATGTCCATGTCGTAATTCCTCAATGCCACGTTCGAAATTCATATCCATTGAAGTAAAAATTCATCCATTTTGTACAAGTCATTTTGTTCGTGATGATCGTTGGTTCCAATATTGGACAATGAAATTTCTCAATGGTAGCATCGATCCTACTCCATCATTTTATTTCAATGATTTTCGTCTGAATGGATGGAAGTTTTTTAATTTTGTTAAAATATTATGCGACACAGTCAATATAAGTCTCGCTAACGCAGTACTTTCGTTTCAAGCAAAACATTTTTTCTCTCTTCAACTTATCACTCCGCTACAATTAAATGAAGCAATTCAAGATTGGAACGCTTCTTTTCGATCCCAGGTAGAATACGATAAAGAAAGAGACCTTAAAAAAATATTTTCTTATACTTTTGAGCATCTAAATTGGGATTATTTTTGTCGAACTGTACGAAACTCTTTCCTACCTTACGCAGAATATCTATGATAATATTGATCTTCTACAGATGAAAGGAAAAACATAAGTAGATTAATCTGAAAAAGCAAAACAACTTTACTCTAGTGTCACTGAATACAAAATATATCATTATATTTTTTTTATCTAGATTTACTCTATATATACATATAAATATTATTCAATGGAAGCAAGTATTCTACAGAGTAAATCAATTTCACTCGATTTTGTTGAACCTTCTGTGGTCTCCAGCCAGTTCAATAACATGTTGTTTCTAGAGTATGCGTTAATTTACGGCGATCCCAATTATCAGATGCCATGCGATTGTGGACAAATCTACCTTTGTCTAACACAATTCATCATCTATAGCGATACAGAGAGTTGTTTTCAAAGGAATATGCGACCTTCACTTGTTCCTGGAATAAATCTTGGCTGTTATCTTATAGATTTTATTCGCTCCACATTAGAATGTTTTTACGATGAAGCTTGTGTTCAGATGCTAATTGATCAGCGTCTTTGTGGTAATAAAAATATCTATTTACCAATAGATTTGAGTAATATAACAGCGCTTGATCCAAACACTTTAATCAATTTTAAGCCTCAAGATTCATTAGAAGTTTTAATACTTAGTTCTCTTGTTAATCAATTGATTTATACAGCAAATTATACATTGTACTATGCTGAATGTCAGCCAAAGATATGTACTTATACAATAGATCAGAAATTACATGCTATTGCTCGTATTAACTTAGTTATTGGTCTGATTGGTGGACTAACTATTCTACTTCGTATCTTAGTTCCATCATTCATCAAAATTATCCATTTGTTTTATGGTTTCTGCCATCAGCAAACACGAGGTGAGAGATTTTTTTCATCCATTATTCAATTATGTTGAATTATTTCAGATGTTCCTTTACGTTGGAGAATGATTTTTATCTATAGTCGAGATAAACTTTATCTCATGAATGTGTACCGAGGAAAAACACAAGTGGAATATCAACATTTAGCAACAAGAATCTATATTGTTCTACTTGTTCTATCTTTTGTGATTGTCTCAGTTTTCGTGCGATTTCAGCATCGAACAGTATTCATAAGCGTAGATTCACCTAACGAAACTTACTTTTCATATCTTCACAGTCAATATTCTGATAGTGTATCTTGTCCTTGTACAAATATAGCTATTTCTTATGTAAATTTTTCAACGTACTCAGTCATATTCCATGAAAGCTGCAGCCAGGCGACTATCCAACAAAGTTTCCTGATGTCACTGGTATCAACAGGCATGCCCTGGAAAATACCTAGTTGGAATCTCATCAAATCACAATTTCTTACCCTATTTTACCGATGTTTTGCCAAAAGGATTAGTTTAGACTTCTTAAGAAACATCTTTACTGACGCAAGTTTGATATCAGTCGAAGCAATGACCTTACGAACATTTCATACACAGTTTAATGCTTTTACAACGGGGATATTTAATAATTCGTTGGTCTCATCATATGATACTTATAAATTCGTTTCTGATATGCTTCAAGCAAATCAATTTCATAACAGATATATGACAAGCTGGGAAACAGAATTTTCGACCTTAGATGAAAATTATATTCTTCGTAACAGTCCAGTTTCGTTGAGCAATGATACTTGCTTTTGTCCAAGTGGGAAATCCAACTGTACCAAGAGACCTATATATTATGATTCAATCGGTGATTCACATGTACTTCCAGGTAAACTCTTTAATCAAGCTTTCTCATATGCTTTCATAATTGTACTTTGACTTATTAAGATTTTCAAAAAAGGTCTATGATTAAAAGATGATAGTTGAAGAATTAATTGCATATTATTGATATTTCATTTATTTAGGCATTGTCGTTGGATGCTCAATCATAGAGGGTCTTTCACAGTCAACATTTGAATGTTTCTATGATGATGTTTGCGTCAATCAACTAAACAGAATGCTTTTCACTACATTTACTACATTCAATCTTAGTGCAACACAGTTCCCACCAACAACTCCAATTGGATCGATTCTAGATGAGAATTCCATAGTATCATTCAATTCATCAGCGAATTATTCTTCATATTTTCAAAGATGTGCTCCATTAACATGTCAATATCATTATATTGAACAAAATGGTATTGTTTACATATTCACAACATTGCTTGGATTGTATGGTGGATTAACTGCAGGTCTACATTTTTTTGTATGGAATTTATTGTCTCTTTACCGAGTCATAGTCAAGCATTGTTCATGTTTGTTGCAACGCGTACATCCTTCATCTTCAACTTGAATGAGCTATCTATGATATGAACAACGCTTCTTATTAAACTCATTAAAAATAATGTCAATCTTCAATGTTGTATATTTTCTCTTGCTTTTGTCAAGCATAAAATTAAGCAATCAAGATTATTATCGTTGCTTTGCTTTACTTTGCTTTTATTCAATTTGTTTTTCATGGAAAAATTAATTGTCTTCATTCAATAAGAAAACTTATTTGTATTTTAGCTTGCTACTGTACTCAATATCCATCAGCATTACTTACAATAAGATATCAGTAGTATTCATCAAACGGGGATAATCATTAGATGATTATATTAGTGTGAGAGTTGAGTGTAAAATGCAAACAGCATATTCACATTCATACATGCCACATCTACACTGACACCATCGAATAAAATAATCTTGTGTCTAGCTCAGATAGACTAGCCTTATCGAATTGTCTCTCCTAGCATGCATATGCAGTTGCTAGGTGTGAATGATATACAGTTATTATTCCGCCAAATCACTAAATACTTGTGAAAAACAATAATTTATTTGCATTTATCAAGGAATGTAACATGTTACTCAAGAAAATATGCCTAATAGTGTCTATTCTATCTGACGTACAGGTGCGAAAGACAAGAAAACGAACGAAAGAAAAAAAGAAAGTCAACACGTGCGTGCATGTAATGCATTCACCATCATATAATCACATCGCGTCTTTTTTTTATTGTAGACAGTTCGAAAAATGATTGCTTTCCTATTTATTTTTTTTGTCATCTTATTGCTGATATACGTAAAACTCAAATATTTTACACTTCGTGGTCCAGTACCTGGTTTATCGCCACATATCTTTTTTGGGAATATGATTCAATCAGGTATATTATTTGGCAAAAAACCATTGACTGAAGTCTACATATCATTCAAGGAACGTTTCGGTGATGTTTATCAGTATTGGATTGGTTTTATTCGTTTCACTGTTGTACATAATATTGATGATGTTCAATACATATTTACCCATCGAAATATATATGATCAAGGAGAGATATTTTTAGAAAAATTCAGCATTTTTTTCCTGATAGTATCATTTGTAGCACGGGTATGGTTTTCTTTTCCATTTGTGAGAAAGATTTGTCCATTATGATTTATAGGTGCCAAATTCAAGCGGCATGGTGCGCTCACAATGCCACTATTTCGTCGTAGCAAGATTATTTCGAATATAAACATAATTATTGACAGTACTGACAAACTACTAGATAGATGGCGTGCTAGTCCATTGGGATAAGTGCATACGAATATTATCGAGCAGTGTCAAAATCTTCTACTTGAAATTTTTGGACTGATTGCTTTTGATTACGATTTGGAGACACTTGATAACAATAATTCAGAAAATAAGAATGAACTGTCTAAAGCTTTACAATATATCATGAGCATATTTAAAATGATAATGTATGCACCTAGAATCATTTCAATTATCTATTTGAAATGGAATCCTCGATATCAACAAGCACGGGCAACCATCAAACGATAACGTAATAAGATGGTCGAACAAGAAATGGCTGAAAGCCCAGATTCCATAGCACAACGAAAGAAAACGTCATTGATCGCATCGCTAGTCAGTTCATTACAAACAGATGAGAAAACCGAAGCAAGAAAAAAGGAAGAAGATAAAGAAGGTAAAGTTTATCCATGAAATCCTTTCATTAGATCATCATTTTCAATAATTCATCATAGATTTGTATACTAAATTTTTGTCCGAAAGATTACACGCCGAAAATAACGTGACACTTTTGACGATTGAAATGGGGATAGGGAATGATATACACTTCACATTTATCGTATCTTGTAGATCACATCCACTGACGTATATGTTGAAAGGTTTAAGAGTTGGTGATTTTTAATAATTGACTAATTCCATTTTCCTGGAGTTGCAACGGAAATGATTGCTCGTGTCCATCTTTCGAACAAACAGATATATTTTCGTCACCATCTAATACAAATTATTGCAGTACAAAGTATGAACTTTTCCCTCAGGTCACTGATCGAACTGAAATTATTCAGAATAGACCGCTAGGTGGATTAGTAGTTCGATAGTGCAAAAGAAAAATTAATTCAACACGGTTTCAACAACAAAGCAGTTAGCTTCATAGAATATGCTGTTTTGAATTGAACTATTACCATAGTTTATCTTGAAGTTTTGTTCTGTTACTTCTAATATTCTACTGTTGACAGGTTTATCACGAAAGGAACTTTTTGATGAGATGCTCATGTTTATGGTTGCTGGTTATGAAACGACGTCTACCGCTCTTGTATGGTCTATTTATCATCTAAGTAAATATCCACGCATTCAACAAAAGATCAAGACAGAGCTGATGCAGTATAGCTGTGATCAATATTTATCATTGGATCGTCTCGACTCATTCGTTTATTTGGATTGCTTTATCAATGAAGTACTTCATTATTCTCCAACGATTGAAGGAACAAGTCGTACAGTGATCGTTGACGATTATCTACCTAACAGTGGTACTCCACTCTACAAAGATAATCAAGTGCTTATTCCGACAACTGCTCTTGCTCGAGATGCTCATCATTGGGAAATTGATCCTGAGTTGTTCTATCCAGAAAGATTTCTTAACGAAGATAAAAATTATCATCCATATGCATTTCTACCATTCGGAAGTGGTCATCGTCAATGTCTTGGACAAGATTTGGCTCGATTAGAACTCAAAGTAATACTAGCTCGTATGTTGCAACAAGTAACATTCGGTGATGGTGGTCCTGAAGTCAATGCAGTTGGATATATTCAAAAATTGACTACCATGCCTAAACATATCGGAGTCATCATTGAATTCCACTGATGCATGAAGATCGATATTCTTCTCTATCACTTCTACTTTCTAATTTTCTGAAGAAATAAAAATGTTGTGCGATGCACTGATAAAGAATAGTGTGTTGATGACAAATTTTAGCAGTTGAAAATGCATGAAATTGAATAATAGATGAATGGGAAAATCGTCAAAATTCAGTATTTGTAGCAGTGTTCAGATTTTCAAGAAAGGCAATTTTCGAAATTACTAACACAGAAGCAGATAATTGCTAGGAAGCTGCAGTAATTATGAATTCATAGAAAAGAAATTCTAAGCAAATTACAGAAATTTCTTTAGCATCAAGACTTATAAATGAAGTTATGTCTTTAGAAATGTAGAAACCAATTCCTGAATATATAAAAGTTTTCGGAAGTTCTTGTGATTTTTCAGTCATTTCTTAAAATTCACGTGACTTGAAGATTCGAGTTGCACTTACTTACAATAAAATCGTATGGTATATTTATCCTTAGTAGATAGATAATATCAGTAATTTTGAGAAAGTATTAGTTAATATTGGAAGTTCTTAGTAAATACCGAAATTTTTCATCAATTTCCGAAATCTATTATATAATTGTCTTAGAATATTTTTCTTATGTTACAGTAATTTTCGAAATTGGATGGGCGTAGACATGGATATCAGGATCGATGGAGACAGTTAGGCGACAAAATTGATTTTCGAGATTTGAGCGTATATCATAGCTAGTGTTGAAGCTCCTATGGTGCTGCATTTAAGTGAATCTTGAATGATGGTTTATAGTGAGTGTCTATTAAGTAGCAGGTATCACAAAGTACGTAAAATAGATGAATATCATTAATAGAACTATACAAGTAAAATGTATGCTTTAAATTGAAGATCTAGTTAAATTCATTAGTTATTATATAGTTATACAGTGTTATGTATTTACTATATATTATAGGCCATTTATACTTCTTTATTTCTTTAAGCTATAGTAAGATCCAGAAATTACACTCAGTGCTGGAAAAAAAATAATCACTAGTGAATAATACAGTTATTTTTCCGAAATTTTAATACAAGCTTTAATTTGTTATTTGTTAGAGCATATCATCATCTATCTTCAATGGATGCGCAAAGATGCACGCTTATACTCTTGTTGAGATAATATAGTGTTTCAAATGTAATCTTCTATCGAAATTTGTTGGCAATTTATTTACAGTAATTACTCATGTTTCTAGTCCATCAAGTTTCGAATAGATAAATAAAGAAGTAAATGTACACCAACTTCAGATTTTATATTTGTCATTTCATTTTAAAATCAGTTCGTTGCCTCTTCCTTAGAAATTAAATATACGAAAAAAAATCATGCATAAGTTCCCTTGTGAGATATTCATCCTCGAACAAAAATCTTTCTTCTCGTTGTCTTTTTATGTTGTCAAACTTTGCATTAAATTTATTACTCATTAGAGATATGATATGAAAGGTTTATTTCATTTTGATATACAGATCATAACGATTTCAAACTTCGCACAATAGTTATAAAAATTTTCTACAACATACAAGAGAGACATTGCTGAAACTCACGAAATACTATAAACCGATCGGAAGTATTTTTGTCATTTCGTTTTTTTTTGTGATAAACTTCATAGCATTAGTGAGCTCATTTACATGTCACAACTAGACTTGCATCAAATTTGAACATTTGAATTTGATGAATTTAATTTGCTATCAAGAGAGTTTTTCCAACTAATAAACCACTAAAACATATATTTTTTCTAAAGATGTTTGACATATATGTATGTGTGTGCTCCACTATCACTAAATAGTGAACTTTTCATTAGAAGTCTTTAAGATTTTATATTTAGGTTATTTTTCCACTCTTATTAGTTTTTCTCTGCAAGGATTCAAAAGTTTGAAATAATTTATTCATGATAATCTGTTGCAGAATCTTGAAGAAAAATTAATCCATGGTAGATTTCTATAATAAATTGTTAATAATTGTATTAAGAGTTTGGAAAAAAAACAACTGTTGTCTCATTTTTGCGAAAAACCATTATCATGAAGCAACTACTTTTTATTATGCTAATTGATAGCTTTTGAAAACCGAAAACTTCATTTGCCAGGAAACTTTCGAGTAAGGGAGACTGGGTAAGCGCAGATAATCAGTCTGAAGTGCCAGCTATATGTACACAAAATATTAAGTTAATAGTGGTAATCATTACAAGAATTGCTTCTGGTCCTCTTTTTCTGTCGACTGTATCCCATACTCACACCCTCAACTATAGATAAAATATAGAGTATTGAAAACCAGATATGTTTACTACGTGTTTAAAAAAGTATTTTCACAGAATCATGAGCAATTTTGGAAAAAAACCAATTGAATTTTCTACTATGTACAGTGAATTAAGACATATCCAGTATTAAAATTGTCAATGTTGAGAAGTAAATTAACATAACAATTAAAATTTCCAAAATAACAACCTCCAGTCATTTTTCTGAATTTGACATCGATCTAATTCCTTAAAGATAGTCTATAAGGAAGAACGGATTTTATATCATCATGATCAGCTCATTGATTTCTACAAACTGGCATAAATCCGATCAAAAATGGAAACCCACGCTTGAAGACTTTCCTTTGTAAGCTTTTACTAAAAACTAGATTCTAATTTAATATCATCATAGATAGTGTAATGAGATAAACTTATTCTCAAAAAATCAAACAATAGCATTATTTTGTGAAACACGATCTAAATGGAGTGTTGAAGTATATAGGGTAGAAATTTGGAGCCACCTCCCCACAGTGAACAGGAAAAGGGAGTCAGGAGAGATTTCTAGTTGCCAAATCGCTTTTGAATCGAGACGATATGCATTATATAGGCTCTAATGAGCTATGAACATCCTGGAAAGAGTTCGTGCTTACAGCTTATTTCTGTCGAGATATTTCATTTTTATGGCATTTTTTAGCAAAAAGCCGTGGTCCCCTCAAGTTCAACTGGAAAATCAATTTTCGAATTTCGGCTTGAAACTTTGTCCAGAGAAAGGTCTCAATGCGATTAGTTTATTCTGAAAGTTTTGGATTTTGGGGGTTCTTCTATCCCGAGATACGAGTATAAGAAACAAATATTCTCTTTCATATCGCTTATAGCACAAAATGTTAAATATTCGCAAAGTTTTAAGTCGAAATTGGAAAGTTGATTTTTCAGGTGATCCTGAGGGGGACCACGGTGTTGTGCTACAAAATGCCGTAAAAACCAAATATCCCGACAAGGGTTCAATGGCGCGTCTTTGCGCTTCTATTGAAAATAGATCATGTCCCATTCTATCAAATGATAAATTAAAACTCGAACTTAAACTCCCGCAAAATCTCACAAACAAACTGCATTATGGGCCAGTGACTATTTTTCACTATACTGATGGTAAGTTTTTGATCTTATTATAGCCTAAAGAACTTTCAGAAGTCCAAACGGTCTGTAATATAGAGTAAATACATAACACTGTATAATTACATAACAACTAACGGATATAACTAGATCCTTAATTTAAAACACACGTTTTACTTATATGTATTATTAATGATATTCATCTATCTTACTTACGTTGTGGTACCTGCTATTTACTGCATACTCTCTATAGAGTGGTATCCAAGACGCACTTCAATGCAGGACCGTAGTAGGTTCAACACTAGCTACGATATGGATTCGAATCTCGAAAATCGATTTTGTCGCCTGGTTGTCCACTGTGCTCCCCTATCCCTACAGATCGTGACAGAGAAACTTCATAACCATCACAGGCCGTACCAGAGAAAATCCTTACTCATCACAGACTGTGATAAAGGGCTCTAGAGATCGTCACAGACGTTTTTGATGTATGTTTACCGATTATATATCAATCAGCTCTCATGAAAGTATTTAAACTGCCTTCTTTTTGAGTTCTAGAGGATAAGTAAAAGTTGATGAAAAATGGGTCCGCAGATAGATCGAATAAAATAATATTCTGATGATTAGTAACAACAACTATATTGTGTTTCACATTTTAAGCCTGTAGGGATGACGCTAACAGGTTTTTTATTTTATTTTTTATTTTTTATATTTAAACGTGTATGAATATGTTCGAATGGTTCTTCAGGTAATGTTACATTAATTAATGTAAATAATTTATAAAAAACTATATTATGTACGATATAATTTGTTGTATTTATGCCATCAAGATTATAATCGTATTTTGACATTAATATTTTAACATCATGTGGATTTAATTCAGCAGCTACATGATCATATGTACGAATCAATTCATAACGAGCTATTTCAATTGGATAACGTATTATTGATTTTCTTAATTTTTTAACAACACGTAAATATATATATCATCATCTTTACCACCCCATCCTCAATAAACTGTTGGATGACTATTTGTACCAAGAATATCTGGTGAACGAAATGCTGCTACACCACCAAAGAATGCTCCATAAATTAAAGTATAATTAAATTTATCTATAGCTATAGGCCTAAAAAATAAATCCATTTTCGATTAATACAATGTAAAAAATGAATTCAAAAAGAATAAATTTATGTTATATAGAAAAATATTAATAGAAAATGAGCATGAAAAAGAAAAGTTACAAGAATTAGAAATAATTTGACATCAATGTTAAATATATCTTGCTTAATTAACTTGCAAGTTTAACAAAGGGTGGGTGTGGGTGGGTGTGTGGGTGTGGCTGTGGGTGTGCGGGTGGATGTGTGATAAGTCTTCATCTACACCCACATGACACTCACATCCACACCCACCCACATCCACACCCACCCACACCCTCACCCCACTCACCCACATCCACACCCACCCGCACCCACACCCACACCCACCCATACACACACCCCACACCCACACCCACACCCACACCCATCCCAAAACTGGATAAAATTAGCATTTTCATCCCTCCAAAGAGTATTTGCAGAAAACCAATGGTACAAGTGATTCGCTTGAAATTTTTTCTGATGATAGCATCATTAGCTGTGAGTGTTCATAGAAAGTTTCAGCTCGATCTGTTCAGCCGTTCTCGAGATACAGTCGTAACAATGGACGGTTTTCTCATGATTGAGGATTTTGAGAGTTTTCGTAGAAGTTCAATAAAAACCCAGTGGATCAATATTTTACCGTGCGGTTTTCGGCAAACATCATCAAACACTTTCCTCTATCACATATATAAAAACGAACAAAATCGGAGATGGTCGATTGAGCACTCCAGGTCGTGGCTTACATGCAATGGCTCATAAGTGTCATTTATTTGCATTACACTTTAAATTTTGGTCGAACACAAAAGAAAAATTGCTTTTTTTCCTCTCTGTGCAAGAAGAACGAAAAAAATACACGTGGCTGTGAAAACTTATGCGTAGAGGGTGTGTGGGTGTCGATGTGGGTCTTCTTCTTCTATCAGATGGATCCACCTTCACACTCCGCAATGTCATAGTTGCTAATACTTCTCTGAGTTTCACAGCAAATAAGCAATAACAGATGAAATAAGTAAGTATTAAAAAATGGTATGCAAAATAACAACATTGTAATTGGAAAAAAAGGAAAGAAAAGGCTGTTCTACCTGTAGAGAAAAAAAACATATATACGATGCAAAGAAGTAGTCTCTTCATTCTGTGAGTCATATGCTATTATTAGAGAAAGAAATGATAGCAAACGAACAGGCATGTAATAGTCACCTCAATCGTAAATCTTGAATTAACAACTTCGTCAAGAGAATGTGGGTGTTGATGTGCTTGTATGTATGATGTTGCCAAACATCAACACTTACATCCTTACTTTTGTTAAACTGTGTTACATGAGAAATTTTTAATTGATGCACTCTATCCACCAGTATACCGAACTTATCAATCCTAAATTCGTTCGCAGTAAGGTTCACTTAGAAACATACCTAATGAATGACTTCATGGAATATTGACAGTTATCAAGATTGGTTCATTCTAGATAGAGTTACCTGTCTGTCAAGTATATAGACTTCTCTGTATTATTTATATGTTTATGATGGATTGTTTTTATTGTTGGACTCTTTATGTGTTGCGTTTCTTCTTATCAATTACAAGAGTAAAACAAAGAAGAATGTAGACCTTTATATAAAAGAAATTACAGTTCTTGCTCTCAATATATCGCACACAAAACTTAACCCTTTGGGGACGGGTTTTTTTTTCTGTATATTTCGTCATAAATCATTCAACGTTTCTATTTTCTAAAAGAACTTATAATCTATTACTGGATATCTGAATAAAATAACCTAATTACAATCCAAATTATACCAAAAAACTCTCTGATAAATGCTTTCACAAAAACTAATCTCATATAGGAATCTGCGTGTTTTGAGATGCTAGAGAATCGCCATGGCCCCTTAAGGGGCCAACCGTCCCCAAAGGGTTAAATCGCGACATGATGACGACTTTCACATAGGGCGTGAGTGTGGCGTGCAGATTTGAATAATCTCTGCATCTTCATCCACACCCACGCACTGATATCCAGACCCATACTCTCTACGCCTCGATTATTATTATCAAGTCGAGCAAGGATATATACAAGTGCATATGTTGGTGATACACCGATACTGAATGTCTTCTTTTCTGTCTGAGAGGACACGTGTAAACTTAATTTGATAGTTATTTTCTCGCTTATCTTTTCGTATGTGGCCTGATAACATGAAACGTGACAAAAAATGCCAGTGGCATACATTTTCTTGTTAGTTGGGTGAAACTCAAAATGATTGAATGAAAATTTCATGAAAAATCAACTTCATTTTTCTGATTTCAAATATCTTTGGTTTAGTATCCGATAGAAGACAGTTTAGGAGATATGAATAAAATTCTGATGTAGATGGCATTAGTTTTGAAGATATTTCGAAAACTTGTTAACATCAGAAATCGATTCGATTTTTATTACAAAGAGAAAAAATTGAATGATTTTTTTTTTGGGAAAGTTTGATCCAATGATTTTAAGTTTCATTGAGCCCAAAAACACTAGCGACTATATATATATTCAAGTTGATAATTCATTGCACTCTGATCATAGACTACTTATATAGTCCAACTGAATATTATCGTTCTAAAGCTATAAAAGTATGAAGAATTTACATTTACGGGCGACATCATTTTTCATAGATTTACAATACTCGACATACTTTCATTTAACTTAAGTCAAGAAAAGGTTGATGATTTCCTTGATGGTATCCTTTGTCACACTCAGTATTTAATATTAATGTTGTTTGTATTTTTAGGTCAAATATCAATAAAAACTTCTCAATCTTCTACAATGCAAAGCAAACGACAGAAAAAAACAACT